TCCAAAATCACAGACGAGCAACAAGCGTTCAAGGGATACGCCAACACCTACTCGGTAAGTGATATAAGATTAAAGGGAATGAAAGGTTTATCCTACTTAAAATACCAGAAGCAACGACTGGCCGAATTCCTGAACAGAAACCCGAACATGAAAATAATCGTGGAAACCGATTTATCATTCAAAAATCCCGCCAACGAACTTATTCAAAGGCGGTTAAGAAGCAGAAGATACAATATTCATAATCCCGACGAGTTGAACACCGTCTTAAACAACATTGGGCACGACATTGAGACACAAATTGAAATAACCGAATACATTCAGTCGGGATTGGTTCTTGGTCAAGTTGAAAAGTTAGTCATCAGTTATGATAGGTACAATCCTACCCGTGGTTCATCCTTTATTCCATTGCCCGACTGGGTGGCAAACAAAAAGGCTTGTATTAACATTAAAAATGAGGACGACTTATGTTTTAAATATTCCGTTCAATGTGGATTTTATGAGTTATTCAAAAAAGACCATCCCTGCGAGATGTATCATTATAAGAAATATGTAGATGACAAATTTATCAAATGGGATAATATTGACTTTCCAGTAGGTAATGATGAGATTGAACTATTTGAAGAACAGAACAAACACATATCGGTCAATGTTTATTACATAAACCCCGATACGAATAGTAAAACTATTTTATTATACAAAAGAAGCAACAACCCACAAGCACAACACAAAATCGATTTGATTAAATTGACTGATGATGTTAAATCCCATTACGCTTATATCAAAAATTATGATAAGTTAATGAGTAGTCAGACTAACAAGATGAAGGCGAAGAAGTATCACTGTAGAACCTGCTCACATGGTTTCAAGACCGAAGAACTTTTAAAGAAACACGAAGAACAAGGATGTCTAGCAGTTGAGGGTCAAAAAATAGAAATGCCAGAAGCAGGTGAAACAATAGTATTCAAAAACCATTTCAAGAAACTTAAAGCTCCATTCGTAATCTATGCCGACTTTGAATGTTTAACTGTGCCAATTGATGTTAAAAGCAAATCGGCAAAAGCTAAAACTACATCATATCAAAATCATCGTCCGTGTGGTTTTATGATTAATGTAGTCAATGCTATAACCGGAAGTAGTGAGCCTTACTTATATAGAGGTCAGGATTGTATGGATAAATTTGTTGAGAAAATCAATAAAGTCAGAGAGGAAGTTTTGGAGAAAATGAAGGAGGACAAAGACCGTATTGAAACCGAGAAGGACTGGGAGGACTTCAATAATGCCACTAACTGCTTCATTTGTGGAAACAAATTTGAGGAAGGAGAAAAGAAGTGTTGGGACCATTGCCACTTTACGGGGCAGTATAGAGGATGCGCCCACGAGGACTGCAATCTACGATTTAGTATGAGATATTATAAAATCCCTGTGTTTCTTCATAATCTTAAAAACTACGATGCCCACTTAATCATCAACAAGGCTCACGAACTGAACAAGAATTCTAAAATAGAATGTATCGCTCAGAACAGCGAAAAGTTTATAACCTTTGGTTTTAAAAATCTTTGTTTCAAGGACAGTTTCAGTTTCTTATCGTCTTCGTTGGATAAGTTGGTCAGGTTGAGTAAATATGAGGATGATAAAAAGCGTGAGAATTGGAAGAACAATTTCAGATACAGCGTTAGAAACCCGTATGTTAAAACCGATGAAGATTTGGATTTATTGACTGATAAGGGTATTTATCCCTATGACTACTTTGATGATTTTGAAAGATTTAAGGAAAGGGCTTTACCACCGAAAGAAGCGTTTTACAGTAAATTAAGTGAGGAACATGTAAGTGATAAAGATTATGAAAGGGCACTGAAAGTATGGAAGCACTTCGGGATTAGAACACTCGGGCAGTATCACGACTTGTATTTAAGAACTGATGTTTTACTACTGACCGATGTATTTGAAAACTTTAGGGACTTGTGTATGGAATACTACGGTTTAGACCCCGCTCATTATTATACGTTGCCAAATTTCGCATGGGACGCGATGCTTCTAAAAACTGGAACGTTGAAATAGAACAATTGCATGACCAAGAAATGTTTGAGATGGTTGAAAAGGGAATGAGAGGTGGTATGTGTCAGGTAAGTCATAAATTAGCGGTGGCAAATAATAAGTATATGGGAGAAGCATATGATGAGAACAAGCCATCAAATTATATTAGCTACTTGGATGCTAATAACTTGTATGGTTTAGCAATGTCCCAGAAATTACCGCTAAAAAATATCAAGTGGGCAAAGAAAACGCCCAGTGTTGAAAAATGGAATGAAAACGATGAGTTCGGTTATATTATGGAAGTTGATTTGGAATATCCCGAAACATTGCACGACTTCCACTCTGACTATCCACTAGCGCCTGAAATAATGAATGTAAATGTGAATATGCTTTCCGATTATCAAAAGCAAGTCTACAAAATATATTATGATGGTAAAAGTCCCAAGGACGAGAAAACAAGTAAGTTAATATTAAATCTAAAGGATAAAGAAAAATATGTGGTTCATATCAAGACTTTACAGTATTATTTGAAAATGGGATTGAAAATGACAAAAGTCCATAGGATAATAAAATTTCAACAGAGGGCATGGTTGAAACCGTGGATTGACTTCAACACTGGTAAAAGGAAAGAAGCCAAAAGCGATTTTGAGAAAGATTTATTCAAATTAATGAACAACGCGGTGTACGGAAAAACTATGGAAGACAAAAGAAACCATATGGACTTTGAACTGGTTGATAATGAGGTAAGATATGAAAAATGCGTTAATAATCCAACTTTCAAAAATAGATTTATTATTAATGAAAATCTCGTCGGAGTTGAGAAAACTAAAGCAAAACTGAAACTGGATAAACCGATTTTCTTAGGAATGAGCATTTTAGATTTAAGCAAATTACATATGTATCAGTTTTATTATGAAGTATTGAAAAAGAAGTATAATGAAAACATCAAATTGATATATACTGATACTGACAGTTATGTAATTCAAACAATGACTGATGATGTCTATAAGGATTTCAATGAGATAAAGCAACACATGGATTTTAGCGACTATCCTGTTGAGCATCCATGTCATGACAAAACTAATAAAAAGGTCTTAGGAATGTTTAAGGACGAAGTGAATGGAAAAATCATTACTAAATTCATCGGATTGAAACCTAAATCTTATGCCTTCACAATTCATGGTGAGGATGATGAACATAAGAAATCAAAAGGTGTAGTCAAACACAAAGTGAAAAAAGAACTGTCGTATCAGAACTACCACGAAGCATTATTTCAAAACAAAAAGCATGAAATCACATATAACTTCATCAGAAGTAAGTCGCATCAAATATATTCAATGTCTCAAGTCAAGCAAAGTCTGAGTAATTATGAAAATAAAAGGTTTTATAGTGATGCTTTCACTTCATTACCATATGGGCATTATTCCATAAAATAATTATCTAGATAGTTCTAATAATATGAAATTATTAGAATTATTTTCAGGGACAGGCTCGGTTGGTCGGGTTGCTCGGGATTTGGGTTTTAGTGTTATTTCCCTTGATTTGAAAAATGCAAATATCAATACTGATATTTTGAGATATTCTCGTTTCTCTTGTCTTATAAGTATATTGGGTTTGGGATTGGGTTTGAAACTGGAAATGTGGGTTTGGGGATGAGGTTGAAACTGAACATATTGAAGTTTATGTGTTTGTTGGTTTTGGGGGAGTTGAGAAATGGGAGATTTGGTCCTTGTTTTGGTGGGATTGGGATAACAACAAAAGCAAAAGACCCACAATCCCTACCCGCTCCCTCAACCAAAACCTCATAGACGACAGTGTTGAAGGCGATGTTCTGAATGACGTCTCAACCTCAGGACAGAGCAAATGTGGGGAGCGGTGGGAGAAAAGGGGGTGGTGGTGGTGTTGGTGGTGGTGGTGTACCCCGATTTTGGGGTAAACCTTACCCCATTACCCCGATTTTGGGGTAGCCCTTACCCCTTACCCCAGCTTTGGGGTACCCCTTACCCCGTTTTTGGGGTAGACCTTACCCTTCTCTCAGTATAAACCTTACCCTTGCCCAGATTTCGGGGTAGACCTTACCCTGACTGAGGGGTAATCATCACACATATTTTTGGGGTGTCTTCCAACCTCTGCGGTCGCGCTGTCCTCACATTTTGTTTTACCCTTCTTCCAAGAGCAAAGTCTGGTTTCTGAGCGGGCTGGCTCTCGTCCGTTGCGTTTGCGTACCCCGAAGCCGAAGAAGGTTGAGTGCTCTTGGGTGCCATTGTTCAGACCGAAGGGTTTGAAGCAAAGCAGGGCAGAGTGAGGGCACGATTGATGAGAAATGGCTGTTTGATGGACGACAGGCAAAGTCCAACTGGACGCAATCTCAAACATCAAGTTGTTGAAGTAAATAACGTGGCGACAAGTCAAGCTTTGAAGACTGCTTACCCCTCTCAACACCATTCTTTCACTGGCTCTCCAAACATATGTCTGATACTGGAAGATGTTCAGAGCAAACGACACACTGAGTGTCTGGCTGAAACAATGAAGTAGAGGATGAAGACGTGGCGTGGTGGCAAACGACCGAATTAAAGGGACGAGCGACCCAAAAGCAAACACACCACCAACACCCCAGAACTTGATAACTACTAAAAGGGCTACCTCTTTCAAATGAAAAAAATGTCTGCCCCCAGCCCAACAATGAACAAGGGGGGCAATTACCAAAATGATTACCTTAACGAAAACGATAAATAAGCTCCCTAAAAACCCTCTTTTAAAAACGAATAAGGGGGAACACAGATTTGAGATGAACATAAAAACCAGAACAGGCAACCCTCAACAGGCCACCCCCCAGGCCCCCTACTTTTACCATTTTTTGGGGGGGGGCAGCTTCAAAGGGCTACCAAAAGGGAAACAAACTGCATTTTTTCGCGGGTCCGGGATTTTTCGAGACAAAGCCATGCCTCGCTTATATCTCGTGCCAGGCTTTGGCCGAGCAGTTTCCCATCACCCACGGGCAGTCGGTGAAGGACTCAAACGCCCTCGGTGTGTTGGGGCGTGGTCTATTAGGGCGTCCCACGGTGGATGATGGGAATTTGCAGGGTTTCCCTTGCTCCCTTCTGGGCATCAACATCCGTAGGTGTCCATTTTATGACGGTTTGGTTGAAAATGGATGGCTTTGATTTCAGTTTGGTTTTATTCCATTTGCGAGTGCTATCTTTTTTGCCAGAAGGACACCTATGCCTGGATCCTTTTTGAGGGTTCCCAGCCAGACCTTTGGAAGCCTAGCTGCATTCACGAGATATCATGTATCTCAACTTTAGCAAGAGATCAACAAACAAACCCTGGTGATCAAAAATCTCGCAGCCATGGGCTGGTGGGTTGCCCCCTTGACTGTCCCCGCCTCTACGTATGGGAAAAGTACAGCGTGCGCGGGCGGTTCCTGCCAAGTCCATACATGTCCCGGGGCAGACGAGAGTGAATCCATACCTTCTGACGGAATTGGGGTCCGAGGGACGTTATGTGACTTACTCCGCGTTCTTTAAATCAGGCACGAGGGGGCGGGGGTTCTTGACTCCGCGTTTGTCCAACCAGGTTCATTGCGGGCCTGCCGCGTTTTCCCGGTCCGCTTCTGCAGGAGCTTTTCAGAGGCTGCCGCCTTCACTTCAACCGCCTGGTGAAGGACGCCTTGGCAGACGGGCATCGGACTAATCAAGAGGGCCATGGTGTTCAGGGGGTTACCGTGTGGGACTTGCTTCCGGCAGATTTATCAGGTTTCCGGAATCCGAACTCCACAATTCTTTGGGTTGCCGACATCCGCACCATCGGATGACTCCGTGGTAAGACCAAGCTGGACTGAAGCTCGGTCTTCCTCGGGCTTCCTTTTCAGCCAGTAAGGGCCTAAGGAGTTCAGAGACGCGAGACAAAAACGAGGGGTCTCCGTACAAACAAAAGCGATGTTTGTGACTGTGTGGTTTCCTCCAAATCGCGAGGGTTGATCGACGATCTCCAAGTCACATGTGGGCAAAGCGTTGCCAGCTGGGGCAAAATGGGCTCCGCGAGCCTTCTGCAGCGCGGATTCGTTATCTCCAGTTTGTGGACGATGCTTTTCTTTGCCCATGACATTTCTTTCCCTTCCCTGTTTGTCCACACAACTGGCCATGGATTTTGGGGGAGCCACGGGGCCACAAAAAGGAGCCACAAACAACACCCGAAGTGGGAGCCGCATCCAGGCTCCCAACATTGAACATTGGCAAGCCAAGCCGTTGTTCGATGTCTGTTTCTCAGGCGACCCTTAACGTTTTGAAATCCGCCTCAAGTTCCCTTCTCGGAACCTCCAAAAGTGAGCAGAATCAACAAAAACAACAAACAAACAATAGTTTAGTACACTCTTCCAGGCGGCCCAGTGTGCCCCCAGTGGGACGGATTCCGAATGGCACGCTTCCCATGGGAAGCTCTCAGAAGCTCTGGGGAAGACTTGGTCCCATTTCCGGTGGCCTTCTGGGAGGTTGGTTAGCAGGGAATGAGACATGGACATGACCCATTTCTATCCATCCAACTGGTTGCCTTTATTCGGGGACCCCTGAGCCTGGGTTCATGCGACCACATCCCCCACTTATCGCACCAGCAAGTATTTCAGTAGCTTCTTCTTTCTTTCTTTTTTAAAGAGGAGATATTTCCTATTGATGAAAAATCGGATTGGGCCACCCAAACCACTTCCCACCAAACAGCCCGGTGGGTTTGGGTTGGACGTCCGGGGCCCCGGTGGCCCCACGAGAGGACCTCAGCGAGAACGACCTGGACAAGGCGCGCCTGGGCCTGGGCCACGCCTTCAGCCGCTCGAGGATGCAGCTGGATCCCAACCGCCAGGAGGGCCGGATTTCTTTTTGTTTGGCGCCCGCCAGGGTGGCCTGGGGTCTTTCTTTTTTCTTTTTTTCTTCTATTTTTTTTTGTCTCCCTTTTCGGGGGAAAGGGGGGGGGCCTGGGGGTTCTCAAAAAGTCGGAAAATTGGGGCTGCGGGGGTCACTCTTGGACAATTTCCGGGGGGCAAAATGCGATGGGGACAGTGGATCCGGGTGCTCGGAGCTGCGCTGAGCTTCCTTCGCGGGGCTCTTGTGCTGTTCGCGTGGGGGTTTGCAGGACAAGCCCATTATGAACACCATTGCATTGCTGGACAACCTCGACAAGCCCCTTGCCATGAGCTGTCACACGCGGGTATGCGGGCACGTGAGATGTCCAGAATTCCAAGGATTTTCCGTGCGATGCTGATTCCCAATGGCCAAAACGGACACCAGAGCTGCACTCGTCCTACCGTTGTTTGTTATTTTGCCCTGTTGATGCCCCAAGTTCATTTGCAATCCGCGCAAAAAGTGCCGCAGGCATGAACGGTAGCATGAGCTCACGTCCGGGAAAGGCAGACGCTTCCCTGGTGGATGAACTGGCCATGGTTTGGATTGGTGGTTTAAAAGTCAGAACCTGGTTTCCCATTTATCCTCTACAACAGCCAGGGGTTCAAGTCCCCACCAATCCAAATCACCAAGGGGTAGCTGGCCCAAACCTCAAGGGACAGTGGGATGCTGTTCTAAGATGGAAGTGGTTGAACACTCCCCTACAAAGTAACATGGAACCCAAAAGGGAGGTCCCCAAAAAGAAGTTTCCTCTACAAATTGTGTTTTTGGTTGGAAACCACGTAAACCTGTGGAGCACTTCCGGCCACCATTTCTGTAGGACATTCCCGCCCGTTCAAACCACTTGTTTTGGGACCCCGAGAAACGAGTGGGGTGACCACTCTGGCCGTCCTGCCCGAGGAACATCAACACCTTCGCCATGCGAGTCCGGGTGGCCCGGCGGAAGGGTTGGAGTCTTGGGAGCCTACCCTCACGCCATGGCAGCTGACCCGGACCCGGTCCCTCCTTCCCTCCTTCTTTTCTGTTTTTGTTTTTGTTTCTTTTTTGTTTTGTTTGTTTGTTTGTTTGTTTGCTTGTTTGTTTGTTTGTTTGTTTGTTTGTTTGTTTGTGTTTGTATTTGTATTAGGTAATTGTTTTTTTTTTTTTTTTTTTTGTGTGTGTGTGTGTGTGTGTGTGTGTTTGTTTTGGTTTTTTTATCCTCCAGGTACCCTTCTTGAAAAGGCCATGTTGGTGGGAGGAAGAGTACGTCGGACTTTTTGGGAAGTGCAGGGTTTGGAGAGCGTTTTTCATTCTCTAGCCTATCATCATGCAACCTGACTGGAGGCCCCCGGAATCTTTCACAAGGCCACTAGCCAGATCTTCCTTTTGAAAGGACCTGGTTGCTTCCATGATGGGAAGGGCGGAGAAAAGCAAAAGATTAAGGAGACCACTTTGGAATCTTAACCATTCCCTTTGGGCAGTGAATTCAGCAGAAAACAACTTGCTGCATAGGTCCCTTTCCCCATTTGACTCCGCCAAAAACCGATGTGTGGATAGGAACCACCTGTTGCAAAGAAAGGTTGTCTTTCCATTTGCTTCCCTTGTTGGTTTCAGACTGGACTATATTGTCCACTTCTTCTCCAGTGGGCGAAAATGCAAGTGGAAGTTATGGGAAGCATAGGTGTCCCTTTTGGTTGTTTTGCTTGAACAATAGATGGCGATTCCTGGTTTACCTGGTGGGTTCATCATCCATTAGGGATATCCATCTACTTTCCCTTTAAAAAACGCCTATGATAAAAAGACACCGAACGGCTCTCCTTCTCAGAGCGCTCCTCGGGGAGAGCTCCTCTCTGAGGAGTGGTACGCCTGGCACTTCCCGGAGCTCACGAAGATCGTCACGGACAACATCGCCTATGCCAAGGTGAGCCGGGTCATCCGCGCGGGGGGCCTCGGATCGGAGTCTCGGATCGGAGCCCCGGATCGGAGCCCCGGATCGGAGCGAGAGGTTTTGGAGGGCCCTCGGATCGGAGCCCCGGATCGGATCCCGGGAGAAGGAGGAGGGTGCGGAGCTAGTTGCTGTCCTGTTTCTGTAGTGTTTCTGTTTGTGGCTGGGGCCAACGCACATCACGTCAATCACCAGGCCCGAAAATGTGGAAAAGGTGCTTGGCCATTTTCCCTGTGCTTGCGCGGGTTCCGGAAGTTTTCCGGGGGTTGCAATTGCGGATGCCTGGGCGTATTTCAGTCTCTACCTTGGTTTTTCTTCTTTTCGTGTGGATGGTCAGCTCCTTTGTGCCCGCTGGCACCCCACGAGCCGCCCAAAGCCCATCCCATGAATATTAGCGGGTGGGCGCAAGCCATTTGGGAGGATGGTCACTTCCCGGAAACTTGAACCCCCTCATTTTGCCCAGACCTGGCGATGGTTCAAATGGCCACTGAGTTGAGCAACTCCTGTCGGGGAATCCCGCGACCCCTTGCAGACCCCCACTAGCAAGCGACTATTATTCCGAGTTCATGCCTCCCCGAAGTGGATAGCCATGTGGTGCTGGTGGTGCTGGTTTGTTCACCGAGGTGAGGGACAACTTCGAAGGCGGAGCCGTCGATGGGATCGGTCGGCTTGCTCCCCAAAGCGACTCAAGTGTTGAGCCGCGGGCAACGTCCGATGTGGGGGTCTTGCGTTTAGTGGTCACCCGTTCAAGCCAGGTTGATTTCCAGATCGGTTTTCCGCATTCAACCCTTAGGGTCAATTTCAGGGGGTTGCCCAGCAGGACTTTCTTTCGCAAAGCCCGGCAGGTCATTCCAGCGCCCAAGCCCCAGCCTCAAACAGAAACACATTCAGATATTTTGAAGGCTTCTTTCTTGGCAGCATGTGATTCTTGGATGCTTCTCTCGTGCGCGTCCCAGCGAACAGACCGGCCGCCTCGCTAGTCGCTTCGGTCGGGGAACATTTTGCCTATTGCGAGCTCCGATTTGGGATGATGTAGGTTCCTTCACCTTCATTTTTGGGCTTGGAGTTGCAGTTCAGGAATTTTAAGTCCTTTGCCAGCGCTTCATCCTCATTTTCCCGTTCAGGACTTCTATTTACATGTTGGTCTTCGGACAAAATGCAAACAGCTCGTGACCAGGCGAAGTTCACCCACCCGCCACTCGGCAGGAGACAAGGAGGCCCTCAGCGAGGCCGCTGGCTCTGAGGAGGTGGCGGACGAGATCTTGTTGCTCGGCCGGGGGAGGGGTGGTTTCGGGTGGTTTCCAGGGGTGAGAATGGCGGGGGAAAATGGCTGGGGCGGGGTCGACAAACATGGGAAGTGCACAGGCAAACAAGCACGTTTTGTGGATTTTCGGAAGCTCGGTTTCAGGACTTTCTTGCACTCCATGCTTGTTGGGGGGTGGAGGGTGGGGGGTAAGCTGGGTCGGTGATGATGTTTCGAGGCTTTCGGGATGGCGACCTCTTTCGGCTGACTAAGCTATTGCAACTGCCCAAGTTCCTCCTGCGTGACACAATCACACAGACATTTACAATGTTGCAGCGCTTTTTTGCCCTGCTTTTGCTTGTGCTTTCCCCCCGGAGCACGAGTCCCGGATGCAATTATGCATGTTGCACTGCCCTTTGTGAAATTGGGGACGCCCTTTTAGGTGAATAATTTCAGTGAAGAATAGGTCGCGCCCGAACCGTGTGTTTCATTTTGAGTAGGGTTGCCAAGCCACATTTGGGGCATATGAGTCACGGTCGAAATATGCGTGGATCACTTTAGTAAAGCGGGGTTGGCAGCATGAATTTGCAGAACGCCTCGCAAAACGTGAGGGCCCCCCACATCAGAACGCTGTAAAGCGATAGGGTTCCCACCAAAAACGATAACTACTTGTTTTCTTGTCAAGCAAACAAATCAAAAGCACAAAAAAACAGATTCGGCGCCATGCGGCGCCCCCTAATCCCAAAGCTGGAAGTGCGAATATATCATTGTCTTTGCAGAGGAAGGCTTCGCCATTGAAAAAAGACACGGCAAAACGAAAGGGAGAGGAGCTCAAAGCACCTTGGTTTCTGAAATGGAGCCTTCCACCGTGCCTTCGACCGCCACTCAGGAAGGCGATGAAGATGTCCATGGGCCAGGAGTGGCGTACTGTTGACTCCAGATGAATCAACCTGTCCCACTGTGGATGGACGAAATCCATTTCGCGCCACCCAAGAAATCACGGGGAAACCATTTGTTTTTTGACCTTTGCGGGGGAATCATCATTCCAGGGTTTGTTAGATGCAGGATTTTCTCAAAACGGTCTCATTTTGTTTCCACAAAACGAGCTCCCTACCCGTAGGGCGCATAGCGCATCTTTCACCGCACGTAGGACATCGTGGAAATGGATATGAAGAACATCGACCACTTTGCAAGCGAGGTGATCAAGCTTGCTGACATGCCTTCACCCCAGTGAAGGGGTCTCAAGTGGTTTTAGTTGAGGGCTCCTGAGACTCACTTCGGCGGATTGAAGTGAACCTTTCCGAGGGTTTTGGACATGTTGGGTTTGGGGGATTTTTTTGGTGTCCTTTTTCAATGGATCACCTATTCTATTTGTCCCAACTCAGGCGGAAGACGCTGCATGAGTACCTCAAGGCGTGCGAAGAGTCGCCGCTTCCCTCATTTTGTCCCGCCTTTCGGGACTGGTGCAGCTGCTGACTTGGGAACACAGACTTCTTGTGGTTTGTGCGTGGAATGGTCGGTGAAATCTGTGTTAGGGTGGGTGTTGTTGTGCGTGTTTGAGGCATACACTGGCGGATATATATACATACACATATGTGTTCAACATCTGCTATAGCAGCTGTATCAAAGCTCAACTGTTAGTGCATCGTGGGGATATCATGTTTGCAGGACGGTACGCAGTTCTTCATCAGGATCCAGGATTTCTTCCCAGAACCGGTCAATGTCAATTATGGCACATTGGTTGGAGTGTGCCAGACAAAAAATATCAAAATCTCACAATCATAGGTGTCCTTTTGGAAAAATAGGTGGCCCTGGTAAATGGAATCAAAGCTGCCAAACTGACCTAAAAAGGACATGATCACAACATCCCCAACCGACTTTGCCCCGGCGTTTCCGCAGCTGGGTCCCCCTTGTCTCCTAGCAGGTAACCAGACTCGATAGGCCAAGATGGACCTGGTGGCCCCCAACTTGGGCGCGCTGATCGGGGAGATCATCGGGGCCCGGCTCATCTCGCACGCAGGCGAAGCGTCGCATTCAGCTCCCCGAGGTCCTTCAAGACTCATGGCTGGTCTCAAGGGCCGAATCGCTTCAAAAGGATCTTTTGGAATAGACAACTGGCATTTTTATATGAAACCTGCAACAGGTCGGAGAGCAACCCAGGACTGTATACGTTTTGGAAAGACCGCCTCGGTGGCACGCAACAAGATTCGGACATTGTTGCCCCATCCGCTCAGGAAGTGAGCTATGGAGCCTTGGAGGGGTCCCATCTCCTGAGAAACTCCGAAAGGGTTCGTGTTTTTTTTCTTTTTTTCCCCCCCCCCCCCCCCCCTTTAAAAAAAAAAGAAACTGTTTGTTCTTCTTTTTTTTTGGTGTGGGTTCAAAGCAACGGAGTTCTCTTATCCGTTTCGGAGGTTCATGTCGTCCCCGCATTTATCAACCAAACATATTGGGGAGGGGCATTTCTCTCAGCAGCGCCTCTTAAACGGGATCCTGCTTTGGCCAACCAGGAGTGAATGCTTCCCGTCAGAATTACCTCATTTGGATGCACACTCAAATGGGACCGTTTCTCTTCTTGTTTCTTCTAGAATGGGTTCCGCTACCCCAAAGCCACTACGCCAACACAAGCACTAGGAAAACCGCCTTTTTTGGACATGCTATGAAGAGCAGCATGTACTCCGATTTCCCTTGGGGGCACTTAGGGGCACTTACTTGTTGGGGGTGCTGAGAAAGTCGCTCGAAATCATGGTTATATTATACCTATACACACACACACGCACACACACACACACACATATGTATATATACAATATACATGTACCTGAACGACCAGAAACACCATACGCCCGGCTTATCTCTTTGTCCCTAGCTTGGCCCGCGGAGCATCCGAGATTACCAGGGAGCCTCACGAACCTGGCCAAGTACCCCGCGAGCACCGTGCAGATCTTGGGGGCGGAGAAGGCGCTCTTCAGGGCGATGAAGACGAAGGCGCAGGGGGAGGGAGGCTTGGCTGGTTGGTTGGTTGGTTGGTTTGGTTTGGTTTGGTTTGGTGGGGTGGCTTGGTGGGGTGCTTGGTGATGTCTTGGGGCGAGGTGGGGCGAGGAGGGGGGAGGTGGGGGGGGGAGGAAGGAACCGAGTTGACAACCCAGAGATTTCTTTTGAAGAAACACCTTTAGGCTGCGGAGCCAGGGTTGCGGGAAGGTCCCTACATGTTCAGAGGATGTGATTTGGTACCTGACAAGGTCCCACGAAGGCTGGGATTAGGGATGCTCCAAAAGCGGACGTTTCCATCAGCCCCCCCCCCCTTATGAATCAACCAGGGGTTTGTATCCTCCACATCGGCAACCCCCCTCCCCCCCCGCCCGCAAATGACCACCCCACTTCCATGTGAAGTGTGTGGTTGGAGCCCTCTCCGTCAGGGCCCCGGTGCAACAGCACCCAGCCTAGTCCTGGGGGCCCGGGGGTTAGACGAATTCAGTACTCCTGGCTCCGCAAGCGCTGCCTTGCCGCCAGGGCAACACGCCCAAGTACGGCACCTTGGCGCGAGAGCTTGGGAGGCCAGCCGAGCTTTCGGGGCTTTTTGTTCTTTGCCTTCAATCCAACACCACCTGAATCGTGCGGGAGGCCCAAGCAGCTTTTTTATGGCTCGCTCAGTCGCGCGTCCACACTTTTTGGGGCCTGGTAGTTCAGTCGGCTGGTGTAAGTTTGGGCTTTCATTCGGTCATTCGACACCGAGGTTTGATTTTCCACTCCACCTTCATTGGCCGGGCCCAGCAGAAGAACAAGGGCAGGATATCGAGGCGGGCCAGATGCCCAGCCGAGCGCTCGGCTCTCGCCGGTGTAGGCCCAGGATGGCTGTCGCTACCTTTGCTATGGTCAGTCTTGCCCTGCGGCTGTCCTCTGGGCAAGGTGGCTGCCATGGTAAGTAGATGGTGCCCACGGATACTAACCACTTGCCTGACGTACCAGGCCCCAAAGGCGCCAATGCAGGGTTAAACGGCCTGTTTACTTGGGCTTGGCAGGGGTGGTTTTTGCAAATCAGGTCCAGTTTCAATCACACGAACGGAAAAGGCACCCCCTGATCGCAGAACCCACGGCACACGCGTCCGCGGCCGTCAATTGGCCAGGTACCTGGCCAACAAGTGCTCCCTGGCGAGCCGCATCGACTGCTTCTCCGATGAGGCCACCACGGTGTTCGGGGAGAAGCTCAAGGACCAGGCCGAGGGACTTGCTTTTTTTTTTTTTGAGGAGGGGGAAGGGGGGGGGGGTTGATGTTTTTTTTTTTTTTTATTTTTTTTGGTGAGGGGGGGGGTGAATTGATTCATTGAGCTGATTGGGGTTTGGGGGTCGATTGGATGTTTACTCAGGGGTTGGCTAGGAAAACCCAAGGAAAGCTAGCGCGGCTAGCGGCATTCTGAGACGCCGTGCGTGCGTGCAACGTGAGTTGTTTTGGTAGCACCTGAATTTGAAATCCCAGACCCCGGCCACTAGAGAATGCGCGAGACACTAAAAGCCTGGACCCACCATTTGCCGGTGACAGGTGGAGGAGCGGCTGACCTTCCTCTCGGAGGGCACGACACCCCGGAAGAACTTGGAGGCGCAAGTGTTTCCGTGTCTTTTTCCCGCGCGGATCTCCCGTTTTTTTTGTTTTTGTTTGTTTAAATAAATATTTTGTTTTTTTCTTTTTTGGCTTGTTTTTTTGAGAAGGACAGGCTTAGCCGGGGATCCTGACACGGGAGGGGCGGGGAATCAGCCTCCAGAAAACCTGTGAATCACGGGATGCAGGAGTTGCTTTGAACCGGGGAGTCCTTCAAGAAGAGTTGGGGCTCGTTTACTCGACCTTCGTAGGAGGTCGATTGTGTACGTCCCCGTTGGCTCATCCCTTTTTTTATCCTTGCAGTGGGCCTTTTGAGGCGTGGGAGTTGTGCCATCTAATGTTGACCCCATATGAATCAACCCCCAGCTTATTATTACGGGGGGTGTCCCTGGGCTTAGTGCGGAGTCATCACTTTTGGGTGGGAACACCCCCCATATTCATACACTGGGGTTTTATAATATGGGGTCAACATTTCCTCCTTTTCCCCTTGAGGCGCGGGAAAGGGCCAAGAATTCGAAGTCGCAAGTCGCGTCTGTTCGCGTCCTGGTTCGCCGCGAGGTGATGCAGGAGGCCATCAAGGAGGCGGGGGAAAGACTCGGGCTCTCGTTCTTGGCGTGGCCTGTACCTGGTTCCCCGAAATGGCAGAAGGTTTTTTCTGGGTTCCAAGAAAAGGTGTTTTCAAGGCCACACTCTCATTTTTCCAAGGGGAGAGTTGGGGAGAGCTTCGGAACCTCTCGATTTGCGAGTGCTCAGGTCACAAAGCAGCGCAAGAAGAAGGCCAAGAAGGCCCGAGTGGGGTGGCACTCCACTGATGGGAGTGGGGGCCTTTTGTCTCAAGAGGATGGTCGTCGTAGTACCCTCCCACCAACTAACATGGAACTGCAAAAAGGCCCTTTCCAAGAGGAAAGTCGTCTTTCTACAGGGGGTCTGTGCACTTTCATGTTAGCTGGTGGGAGGGTATGTCGCCCAAAACCCGACCTCCACCTGCATGGGTGCCGGATCGGACGGTTGGGCCGAGCCGCAACGAGCTGCTCTTCATCCGGGGTGTGAACCTTTTGGGGGGCCTACTGGTACCTGATTTGCATGTCTGTCTTGGGCCCACCCGAACTGTGGTGTGTTTTTTGAGGCTCGGTGCACCATTCAGCTTGGCAACAGCAAACAACAACTCAGAGAGGAAGGCATTTTTTTTTGGTTTGTGGGGGGGGGGGGTTCTCCAGTTTGGCACATTTCAAGGTTCTCCTCGGTTGGTGGTTTGGATTTGGATTTGCCCGTGGGTCAAAACTAGGTAATTACCCAAAATGGGTTGCCCTGGCAAATGGACACATGGACGATTCAACCGGTCCAATTCCTGGTGGCTGAAGCCCTGGGTCTAAAGCGGCCTGGGGAGCTTCCCCCGGCTCCGTGGCCAGGCTGCGGCGGCGAAGGCGGCAGAGGAAGCGGGGGAGGTGTTGGAAGAGGGCGCGGTGCCGAAGAAGAAGCCGCCCGGCAGAGAGAGGAGGCGTCAAGAAGCTCCTGGTTTTGGGTCTTGTTTTGTGATACAATCATTTTCTCCGGTCTCTGTCTGTGGTTCTTGTTGGATGTGTTGGTTTTGTTCTTCCCCTTTTTTTTCTTTCTTTTCTCTCTGTTTTTTTGGAAGCAAGGGGTGTGGGTTTCTGGGGCGGCGAACCTCGGAAGTTTCCGCCTTGGGCGTAATTTTCTAGTCTTGCGGCCTGCGGGCTCGAGGCGAACTTGGGTTTTGGACGCTTGGAGGTCATCCACCACTTCTGTTGAGGGCGGCAAGCTCCGCTGGAAGCACCTAATAGTGGTAATAATGGCAGATAAGCCATGCCTGAAAATGGTGTTGACAAAGCGCGAACTCGACTTGTTGGTCGAGCATTTGGTGGGCCTCCTGATTTTGAGACAGACCCCGTGGTGGGGCAGGCGTGCTGGGCCTTACAACGTTGACCGCCTTTTCCACCGGCTTGATTGGTGCTGTTTGCCAGTTGGATTTTCTGCCAGCGTGTTGCTTTTTTGTTACTGGTTGTTCTTGTTTTAGTTTTGGCAGCATGTGCCTTCCACTTTTGCTGCTGGCGTGTGGGGGCTTGGAACCTGACTCCTGACTCCCCTTTGGCTAAGACATGCTGTTCTTGAAGGCGGAGCCTCTGCCAGAGGTTCCCTCGACATTTGCCACGGGGTTTCGGAGGGTAATGCCAAAATTTTGCACTTTGAGGGAGCTGGACACATGGGTGTGGGTCAAATTAAACCACTAGGGGACCGCAGGTTTTAGTCCATGTTTCAATTTACCAGGGTTCATTTTGGGTTGACCCACACCCGCACTGAAGGTGGGTCTTGTTTTGGAACTTCCCACGCCTGCGTCCGAGGAAGCGTGTGCAAGAGGAGGTTGCGGAGGAGGCCGTGGAGGAGGAGGCGCCGAGGAAGAAAAAGAAGAAGGCCGCTGCGACGCTTGGCTGGAAGGAGTCGATTCCGACTGCTCCCAAATAAAGCCGTGGTTCATTTTTTGGGGAGGGAAGCTAGAAGATCCTTTGGTGAAGGTCCTCTGCTAGCGCGCTCCCTTTTTTCCCGGTTTTTGAATTATCCAAGTTTGGGCAGAAAGGCGGCAAGAGCCTGCCAAGCGGTGAGGCCGTGCCATGAGAGAGCGGCAGCAACGTCACATGCAAGCATGGAGCCGGAGAGACTGAATGTTTTGGGCTTCATAAAGAGGTTCCGTAGCGCCGTAGCGCCGTGTTGGGCTGTGGTTGGTCGCCGTGGCGAATCCTAGCTCATCTCAGTTCGGTGAGCGTCGATCGTTCAGATTGTGTCGGATGATGACTTCTGTTGGGTTCGGCTTCCCAGCCCCGTCCTTCAACGGGAAACCGGGGGGGGGGGGGGGGACGGCTTCTGAGGTGATGCGAAACTTGCGGCGGGTATTGTACAAAGGGTAGCGATCAGCTTTCGAGAAGGGCGAAATCCGCCGGCGAAATCGTCGAAATCGCAAGAGGCAACTTCTCTCTTTTGAGGGCATGGGTCAGAAACAATTTCTTTCCCGGCCACGAGCCGGTGGTCTCTTTCAGACTGCGCTTACTGGACAGAAATCGTCGAAATCGCAAGAGGCAACTTCTCTCTTTTGAGGGCATGGGTCAGAAACAATTTCTTTCCCGGCCACGAGCCGGTGGTCTCTTTCAGACTGCGCTTACTGGACAGTGCCAGTGGGTCGTTTTTTGAGGGCACTCTTTTCTGGTTGATTTCAAAGGGAAGCCAAATGCAAAGCCCACAATTGTTAGGTTCCCCTTTTTCAGGACACACCCATGTATGCACAGAGGGATCACCCCAGTCAAACGCTGACGCGCCCGGGAGGATTTCACCCCACCCCTCCCCCGCTTGAAGCGGTTCATTTCTCGAGCCGTGGAAGTTTCACCCGGCGGAACTCAGAAAGCGAGCTGTTGGCGTCTTCACATGCGCAGGTGCAGCGAATTATGGAGACCTATGGGGTGAGCCTCAGCCATGATGACGCTTCCTTTGTAGGCTTGCTGGTTAAGTTATACTTCACCCAAATGTGCGTGAGTAAATGTATTGACGGGAGCTACAGCACATTTGTGCATGCGTGCGTGTGTCGGTGTGTCAGCTGGCGGTTTCCGAAGCAAGTCGAGCGGAACACTGCTAAATGTGGACCCCAGCTGAATAAACCAGGTGGGATTTTAGGGGTGTTCTTCAACCAAGGGCATGTCGTCCAAAAGCAGGACACCGCACATCAAGGCGTTTTCGGAGCTGCAGAAGCCTGACTGGGAAGAGCCATGTGCTGGGACCGTTTGCAGAAATCCTCTGGAAAAAACACACCGACCTGGAAGGATCTGGCGCAAAGGAGGATAGTTCTTTGCAGACTGCTTTACAGGACACCTGAGTTTGTAGGGTTCACAAAAAAGTGCAGGTTTACTCTTGGGGGAATACCGACCTGGTCTCAAAAACCGGGCGAACCCCTGGCTTGCGCAGAGGATTTTCTGGGAGCCATCTTCCCTGCACACCTCCAACACTTTGTTGCATCTCGCTTAGATGTTAGGAGTTTAGCTTTTTGCCAACTAATGGGTTTTCCGTACTAAACCACTAAAAGTTAAACTCTTAGCAGGGGAGCAGAAAGCAACCGAGAAAACAACAGATCCACACCACCCTTTCCAAGGGCCTGGATGCTTGGAAAGGTCCTGATCTGCGCGCGGGCGATGCTTTCTTGAGCTTCCCCGGAAGGTCGAGGGTGCTTGCAAGCGCCGGCCCCCGTGGACCTGGAAGGCACCGAAGGCCTTTTAGGGGTGTACTCAAATGCAGGAACTTCCTGACTTAGTGTGCTTAAGGAACGGGGCGGTGGCAAATGAAAAAGGTCGCTGAGTTGAAGGGCGTTTCTGGTTGGAGGTTGGTGGCAATCATATTGTTGCTTCTGTACGTCCTTTCCTTGCAGCTGGCGCCGCTCGCCCACTGCGTGTCG